TTAAACAACCCTTTGATAGCCATGGTTTATGGATTTTGCTGTCCTTGTTACTGACTTTGATTACAGGCACATGCTCAGTAGCAAAATTGAGAAATAAATCAATAAACGTATTATATGCGTCATCGGTGTCAGTATTGTTGTAACCTAGGTCCCAGGAAATGTTACATAAACCTATAATTTTATTATAGGATGAAAATTTGCATTTGTAGTAGGGTGACTTACGCTTTTGATCATGGTGAAGGTTGAATAATGGTTGCTGATATCCGTGTGAATACTGACACACTCTAGAAAATCACGTGATTGATGGTTGTGGAAGTGGTGTCAGTTACTCTTACTCAATGCTTTGGATAAAATTATAACTATTTAGTAGAGACAAATATGTAGTCACTGAGTTGGTATTCAAGTTAACATTTTTTTTATTTTTTGAAGCAAAATAATTAAGACTCTCATCCATACCATCCAGAAATTCCTGGATGGGTGTGGTTAGTTTCCTGTAAACAACACCAATACTGAGTTTCTTTTTGTTAATGATAGTATCTCTAAAAATGGCCTCGCAGTGGGGAATTTGAATGTGAGAGATATGTGAGAAAGACAATGATTCATGAATATAAAACCAGCCCCGTCTCCTGAGATTGTTCTCCATTGGAAGTGATAAAACTGTATGATGCAATGTTGAATAATGATTGGTCTGTATTGTTACATAACCATGTTTCAGTAAGTGCTAAAATTGGTGTGGAATGATGTTAAGAAAACTGACCAGGTCATCCCAGTTTTTAGCTCCGCTGTCGACTTTGTCGAGCGGAGCTTATCATATGAGTGATTGTCCGTCGTCGTCCGGCGTTTGTCGTCCGTGTCAATGTTTTATTTTTTCGACTTCTTGAAAACGACAAGCCTGAATGTTTTGATACCTGGTGTATATGTACCTTGGGTAGACTTCTCTCAGATTTGTTCATTTCATGATGATATCTTCAATTCTCTAATTTTGGTGAATATTTTTGTCATTTTTGGTAAAAAGTGATATTTTCGACTTCTTGTTAAAAAGCGCAAGTCCAATTGCTTTGATATTACGTATATACCGGTAGGTAATACATGTGGACCTCTCTCAGATTTGTTCATTTTGTAATGATATCTTTAATTCTTTAATTTTGGTGAATACTTTTGTTATTTTTGGTAAAAAGTGATATTTTCGACTTCTTGTTAAAAAGCGCAAGTCCAATTGCTTTGATATTACCTATATAGGTACTACATGTGTACCTTTTTCAGATTTGTTCATTTTGTAATGATATCTTCAATTTTCTAATTTTGGTGAATATTTTTGTCATTTTTTGATAAAAAGTGATATTTTCGACTTGTTAAAAACCACAATCATTTATGGTGAAAAATGATATTTTTGAATGCTTGTTGGAAAAGCAAGTCCCATTGCTTTGATACTATACATATTGTTCATTTTCTAATGATATCTTCTTCTTTAATCGAAATGTGCATTGCTAACAGCGGAGCTATCTCAGCCGAGAGGCTGCTTGTTACTTATAGATTGGATATTAAAATGAATACTGGAAAACGGGTGTTTTTTTTAAATTAAATGTAAAATAAGATTGTATACCTGTGGTGAACTGCTCCACACTATAAACTTGACTGTTATAATTTATTGTTGAGTTTTCGGTATCTAGTGAATTCATATTGTTATATCTATGGACTTTATATAATGCGTTGAACATCTTGGTGTGTAAGTACTTTTATCATGGGAGCTTCTTGGTCTTTTCTCGCAAATATTTGGCCATTTTGGGTCCTTATGAATTTCCATTTTGTATCGTGAAATAATCTCTTATTCTGTTCAGTGAGTTGTTTGTTAATGTAAATGCGATGGTGTGATGGTATGTTGACATCTGACGTAGTCTTGTTATGTAAATTTTTCTTTATTTTATATAAATTATTTTGGACACGATGTCTTGTAAATCTTACAATTAGTGCGTGGACATTTTGTCCTCGTTTCAAACCTGTGACAATTACGATATCTGTATTCGAAACAGAAATACCTGTTGGTTCTGCAATTTTTAAGACAATATTATTGGTGTCTTCATCTTCTAACACTGGTACACCATGTATTTCCAAGTTGTTACGGCAGGAGTACTTATTTATAGTTTTCATGACTTTTTCTAATTTGTCTAAACAGGTCTCCGTTGTCACTAATATCTCACGTAATTCTTTATTTTCCGTCTTCAATGCGTTTTTGTAATTTTCAAAGAATGCATTTCAAAAATTCATGGATTCCTTCAGCTCTATTATAGTTGATGGCAATGAAGATAACTTATCTACCTTGTGACAAAGAATGTCAAGCCTTTCTTCAATACCTTTGTCAGCCATCTTGGCTTTGTTCTCCAGTCGGTTACTCATTCACGGGAACTGTTTTGCTTCGCATTTTGCACATAATTCTAAGCCTCCCTGGCATAAACATACATTCCTTTTACTATCGCAGTCAATGCATTTCATATCAGTGACAATTTTAGTTAAAAATGATGTAGATTAGCAAAAGTTATGAGTTTCTTGAGGAGCCGATGTTACTATGTAAATATTGTACTCTATCGATGCCTATTATTTTAACACATGTTTTACTTTGGCTGATACATTATTTTACCAGTTTCACAATTGTATATGATCAGCACAAAAAAGCATGCCACCCACTGCAATGTGACTGTTTTTGTCAGTTATTGAATTATAACAACTCATTATTTTGTGAATCCTTGAAGGAGATGATCTTTTTCATGCTGGTAGCTTCCTGTTCAGTCGTTTCAGTTTCCTGTTCAGCTTCCGTGGCTTAATTGCCAACGTTTTGCATGGTTTGGTTTGTTCACCACGGCTTGCCTTTGACTACCTTCCTTTATTACAAACAGCAGTTAATTAGACTGTCACCAATTACAGTCATTTCCGTGGTAATGCATTGATGTGTGATTTTTGATTCATGGTTTCAAACAATTTTGGATTGCTAGAACTTAAAAGTAGTTGTTATAAAATGACAGAGTACAATCCATTATTTTATGAATTTATTGTTAAATTATAAATCATTTTTAAAGATATACAGGAAATTTGATATCACTAGTGTAAATGAATATAATTTCAAAATCATCTCAGAGTTGTCTAATTTCACACATAGATTATACATGTTAGGATACATGCCCACCAACCGTCTGTGCGTCTGTCCGCCCGTTCGTCCGTCCGGAGTCGTATTTCAGAATCCTTTAGATCAATTTCGTTCATGCTTTGCTTATGCCTAGTACTTTATGTGCGACATACGCATATGCAGTGGTTTTGCGATTCGAATCAAAAAGGCCAACTGGCATCCATCATTGTTTTTTGTAAATGTTGTATTTTGGACATGCTTTGTCAGTTTTCATTCAAATTTGGCACATACTTATACATGTTAGGATACATGTCCATGACAATTTGTTTCAAAATCGGATCAAGGATGGCCGATTGACAGCCATCTGACATTTTGGGATTACTACTATACTTTCTATTATATTATATTACTGGTACTACTATATTTCCAAGATTTATGTACCATTTTCATTCAGATTTGGTACATACATCATACATGTCAGTTTGTTTCATTCAATTTAAATTAGAGGCATGACAAATGTTAAATTGTATTCAACGCATTATTTTGAACTGATATTTATTAAAACTGCAAATTTGAGGACACTGCCTTCACCATAATGTTCAACGCAAGAGGGCGCTTGTCTTGTACAAAGGGATATATTAGCCACTTTAGTCTAGAACTAACAATACAATTACAAAGAGTTGCAATTGCTGTATTCCCTATCCCAGAATCTCAAATTCGGTCATTACATATATGTTAACATTGTATGCCCCATGTAAAGATTTATTGTAGGGCACCATGGAAACAAGCATTCATATTCATGAGATGTATGGTAATGTAATTTTAGTGCCTCATTCCCATCTTCAGACTTGCATTTTCTCAAACCTACTTTAAACAGTTTTAGCAAGTGCAATAACATAGACATGCACCTCAATTTGTTTTACTTTCACTTCCACTTTGCTATGTCTTAAACCGGAGGGGTCGTCACGCAACACATGTTCGAATTTTATGTAAATAAACAATCTGTTGTATTTGCCACTTGGGACTCGCGACAACCCCTCCGCTTTAATATGACGAGCACAAAGAGAAAAATTTAACAGGGACTGTGTCATTTTCAATGACTTGTGAAAAACATAAACTCCAAGAAAACGTTGATGAAGTCACGGCAAGGATTTTCAAGCTTGTTTATTGGCGCAACCGATTTGTTTTCACATCAAGGTCTGTTTTAACATGTGTTGGGGCATTCCAATGTATGAAGGTATTGGAAACCAAGAAAAAATCGTCAGATGAGAACACAAAAATCATCGTTAAGAACTAAGTTTGTTAAGTTTTGCTGCAATGTCATTTTTAGGATTGTGGCGTAACAAATCATGGTCTTCTTTGAGTTCCAAATCATCTCAGACTACTATAATAGTCACGCACAGCTTTAGTGATTGCAAGAAGAATATTCTATTTCTAGTTTGACAATGAAACGTTGAATGTATGAAGAAAGTCGTCCTCCAAAACGAGAAAAAAATACAAGAAATCACTCGAAAATTTAACGCACGACACTAGGCACACTCAACGATTTAGCGCCATTTTGAATCAAAGCTTAACATGTATCAAGCAAGTAGCAACTGGTTGCTAGGGCCAATTTAACAGTCTTGTGGGATCTTGCACAAAGCAGAAAATAGGTTATTATTAGCGATGATCATAAAATTACAAGAAAAGCATACATTTGGTAGCATACCAGTAGAACTGGTCAGTGCTGCTATTTCAAGAGTGTTGTTGTATCTTTCAAAAGCATGTATTTCATACGTTTTTCATTTTCGAATCCATCAATAATCTTGCTCATTCTGTTCTGTTAATTGATATGGCTGGATGTGATCTTAAAATGACATGTATTCAATATCCTTAAATATAGAGATCTGCCCAACATAGAGGAAACAAAAGATACATGTACGGCATTAGTGTTAATTGATACAACTGGATGTGATCTCCATGAATTACAAATACCAGATGAGATGTCAAAAGGGAATGAAGGTAACAAATATATTCAGAATAAATCATGAATAAGTCTTCATGCACAATTATCCTAGAATACTGTATTTACTTTATTAGAAGCACATCTTTAATTCTCTATCTCCCAAAGGGAGTATGACCTTTCTGGCCAATTGTGTATAGTTTTGGTAGAGCCCTGATACTTTGCGTTAACTTCCACTTTAACTGACAAACTCATACACAACTGGATCAGGTTACACTTGCCTACTCAAATATAACTGGGCCAAGTACACAACAGATAACAACTGATATGGAGTGGCTTGCTGACAACCTAAGTACAATTACATAGTACAGAGGCACAGTCATGAACAATTGGATAGGCTTGTAGGCACACATAGTAATCTATGGTGTGTCTTGCTGAGCACATTCATGAACAATTGGACAGCACACACACACAGTTATTGACAACTGAGGCGTTGTTCTGTGCATTTAAAAAAACTGGCATGGAGTATTATTTATTGAGTCCTATTTGGTCTGGTTTTCAGAAATATCTAATTACCTAAAAATACACTGATTAGTAGGTATATATATATAATATTCACACTGCACTGATTCATTAGTCCTGCAAAATAAAGCATACATGGTCAGTTTACAATTGCATAAATATCACCCTACCCAACACCACCCACCACCCTTGGGCCCATCCTAACAAAAAGTTCCAGCACTAATTTCTAAGCTGTCTTCTTCTTGGTCTTCCCACTCTTGGTCTTTCTTGATTTCTAGGATCTCTGCCATCCCACCTTAGTCTGGCTTCTGCCTGATCCTCTTCATTATACTGGGTCTCTTTGTACACAGTTGACTTCCCTGTAGAAATATGGTGATAGGGCAGGAAGCAGTCCCTGCAAAGGTGAATACTGCATCGGTTGCACTTGTAGCTGCTCAGGTGGTAGCCTCCACTCCTTGTCTTTCTATTTAGTTTGATACACAGCCTACAACAATGTCCACGTCCTGCCTCACGCACCAGTGTGTGCCCCTTGTAGCTGTCAATTGATGGCTGTGCAGTGACAAGCTCTTTCTTACGTGAATAGAAACCACCAACCAAAGCTATACCAATCTTTAATTGATAAGATTTGTGTGTCAGATTGGGCATTGGTTATGGGTTTGATAAAATTATCCAACTGTTGGTCAAGGCAGTGTCCAACAAATAGAAAAAATACATATTTACCACCACTTGTGGGTTTGGCGTTGTGAGGTGTAATATGCCCTCAACTGGTTTGCTCTGTCTACACCACCCATAAACTGGTTATAATTTTCTATAACCTCAGGTGCTGGCACTGTGTAGGTCACTCTTTTATGCGATTCTTTGTTTTTTACATATCTTACAAGTCTCTCTCCCCTGGTCCTGAAACCTTCCTTGCATGTTGTCAGAGCAGTGAATAATTTTGAGTCTTTCCATACGACTACAACCAAGTCTCCTTTCTGTCTTGAGACAAATTGACCCCTCTCAAGCCGTTTTATCCTTTTACTGTCAGGATTCTTATCACTTGCCTTTAGACAAGTTGGCATTCCCTTCCTGGTTGGCCGAGTACTGCCAATAAGGAATGTGTGATGATTGTTTAGCAGAGTCATTGCCAAGTCAGGACTAGTGTAAAAACTGTCTGTATATAAAATATGATTGAACCCTTGTACATGGCTGATCATATCAACACACAGATCATGGGTTTTTCTATCCCCTTTTCTATCAGTAATGGCAGATACTGTCATGAATCTGATACAGATTATGTAATTAGAGACTGCATCTGCAAGTACATAAACTTTAAATCCCTTGGATCTTGGTTTGCTATGAATAAATACGGTTGGGATACCTGCTTTACTCCCCTTATAACCTATGATAGCTTCATCTATTACTATCTCTTGGTGGAGATTATAAGAATTTGGGGAAGAATCCATAATTTTGTTTAGGACTGGAAGTA